TTGGTTTAGGTCGTCCATGTAGTTTTGGTTTATGGTAAAGAGTAAATATCTGTTATTGATTTTGCTATAATTATAACATGCTCTTGTGTATTTAATACTAGTAACTGATATGCATAATAAGCATATGTTGTACAAGTATGTACAAGTAGTGACTCGCGATTTGGATATGATCAAGGGGTAAATTGAAATTAATTCGGTTTTCTTGGTTCCTTATTTACATTATAATTGAAAATATGATTTGGAAAATGCCTGTTGTAATTCCAAAAATTTACATGTCTCGATAAACAACCTCATCGTACCTTTTTGTTAACTTGAATTAATCAAACCGTTTAAATGTTAACAGTACCGCTTACAATCTACCATACCTAATATGAGATGTGAATGTATTCAAGAGTTTTATATACACCAAGCAGTGTTTTATGAGGAAGTAATAATCATCTGTAATAAGTCGTGATATTTATGTTGATGAAATTGATTTGAATATAAAGCATGTATAATGCTACGTCAAAACATTTTGCTTTTCATTTTAGAAAACTGTAAAACAGTTTGAACGCTACAGAAAATCTGGTTCTCCAAACCACGTCATCAACTTTGTGAAACGTTGTACAGAACTATGCTGGAGCATGGTAATCAAAGAGCCGTCAATGGTTCTGATTTACGACCAGTTGGAAGGAAAGCCGATAGACAAAAACCTGTTTTCCCCATATACCAAAAATGGATCTGTCATCGACTTTGTGGTCTGGCCTGCCTTGATTTTACACAAAACTGGTCCCATCTTACAAAAAGGTAGCGTGCAGGGTAAAGATGTTCCTGTACTGGCAGATACGCAACAGAAAACAGATTCCCGAATGGCAAACAGCTTAGCTGAAACCAGTACAGATGGATCGGCTACTTTTATCGTACGTGACTCTACAAAGGGGGGCGATGACATCAAAGTCTTTATACCGCCAAATGGGGCAAATCAGAGCGTTAAGATGACAGATGGAGGTCGAAATGAGCAGTGAGCGGATGAAAATCATTCAGTCTCAATATTGGCCCCATAACTATGTAAAAGCATTATTATACAGATATCGTGTATATTGTAAGCATAATTAATGCGCATTCATGTATCACACTAATCTATACCGCATGTAAAGCGGTCAATCAGACCTACAACTGGTATAAGAATCGTAGAAAATAAAAGTTACCACTTAAAATAAAAACATATTTCAACATACAGTGTATTTTAGACTAATCTACATTGCCACTAATATTCACTGTGATCGGAAGTAATACTGTCAGCTAATTATCCGAAATATCCTATAAATCATGTAAAATTCCATTGGCAGTTGAAATTTTAATGACTATAAAGGTTCTCTAAACAGAATACAATAGGTCAAATACATAGAAGACCGAGTTTTAATGGGATTTCTGTTGTTCAGTCTTTAGTTTTTTATACGACCGCAAACAAATTTTTGTGGTCGTATATTGGTATGACGTTGGCGTCGTCGTCGTCGTCTTCGTCGTCGTCCGAAGACACATTAGTTTTCGCACTCTTACTTTAGTTTAAGTGAATGGATCTCAATGAAATTTTACCATAAGGTTCAATACCACAAAAGGAAGGTGGGGATTGATTTTGGGGGTTATGGTACCAACAGTTAAGGAATTAGGGGCCAAAAAGGGGCAAAAAACAAGCATTTTTCTTGTTTCATGACAATAACTTGTAAGTGTATGGATCTCTCTGACATTGTATCACAAGGTTCAATAACACAAAGGGAAGGCTTGAATTGATTTTGGGGGTAATTGCCTCCAAATTTTAGGAATTAGGGGCCAAAAAGGGGCAAAAAACAAGCATTTTTCTAGTTTCATGACAATAACTTGTGTGTAAGTGTATGGATCTTTATGAAATTGTACAACAAGGTTTCATATCACAAAGGAAAAGCTGGAATTGAGTTTGGAGGTAATTGCCTAAAAAGTTTAGGAATAAGGGGCCAAAAAAAGCCAAAAATAAGCATTTTTCTAGTTTCTAGACAATAACTTGTGTTCAAGTGTATGGATCTCTCTGAAATTGTACTGCAAGGTACATATCACAAAGGGAAGGCTGGGATTGATTTTGGGGGTAATTGCCTCAAAATTTTAGTAATTAGGGGCCATAAAAGGGCAAAAAAACAAGCATTTTTCTAGTTTCAGGACAATAACTTGTGTGTAAGTGTATGGATCTTTATGAAATTGTACTGCAAGGTTTCATGTCACAAAGGGAAAGCTGGGTTTGAGTTTGGGGGTAATTGCCCTTAACGTTTAGGAATTTGGGGCCAAAAAGGGGCAAAAAAACAAGCATCTTTCTAGTGTCCAGACAATAACTTGTGTTCAAGTGTATGGATCTCTCTGAAATTGTACTGCATGGTACCATACCACAAAGAGAAGGCTGGGATTGAGTTTGGGAGTGGTGAATCATAAGGGGGTTCAAAAAATTTGGGGGGGGGATTTTTTTTTCCTTTTTTTTCTTTAAAATTTTCCATTTTAAATTGGTTATTTCTGATTTATATATAAAAGCAAATAATAATGATATGGTTTGAATAGGTAAATTAAAATTTTTTAAGTTCTTAGACCACATTCATTCTGTGTCAGAAACCTATGCTGTGTCAAATATTTAATTACAATCCAAATGCAGTGCTGTATCAAGCTTGAATGTTGTGTCCATACTTGCCCCAACTGTTCAGGGTTCGACCTCTGCGGTCGTATCAAGCTGCGCCCCAGCGGAGCATTTTATTGTGTAGTGTTTTATAGTTGTTTTTCTTTACGTATGTTGTTATGCCCTACCTAGGGGCATTATGTTTTTCGGTCCGTCTGTCCCGCTTCAGGTTAATGTTTTTGGTCAAGGTAGTTTTTGATGAAGTTGAAGTCCAATCAACTTGAAACTTAGTACACAAGTTCCCTATGATATGATCTTTCTAATTGTTATGCAATTTTAGAGTTTTGACCCCAATTTCACGGTCCACTGAACATAGAAAATGATAGTGCGAGTGGGGCATCCGTGTACTATGGACACATTCTTGTCTTTGTTTTGTTTTTATGCCCCCGCCGTAGCGGTGGGGGCATTAAGTTTTACCCTTGTCCGTCTGTACGTACGTACGTACGTACGTCCCAAAATTTGGTTTCCGTTCTCTAACTTAAGTTTACCTCAACCAAATGTTATGAAACTTATACACAATGCTTATTACCACAAAACACAGATAATTTGAATTTATGTGGCGTCACTTTAACCGTTCTAGAGTATTGCCCCTTTATAAATGGAAAAATTGCAAAATTTTTAGTTTCCGTTCTCTAACTTAAGTTTGCCTCTACCAAATGTTATGAAACGTATACCCAATGCTTTTACCACAAAACACAGATCAAGTTTGAAATTTGGAGGCGTCACTTTAACCGTTCTAGAGTTATGCCCCTTTATAAATGGAAAAATTGCAAATTTTTTAGTTTCCGTTCTTTAACTTAAGTTTGCCTCAACCAAATGTTATGAAACTTGTACACAATGCTTATGACCACAAAACACAGATCAAGTTTGAATTTTGGTGGCGTCACTTTAACCGTTCTAGAGTTATGCCACTTTATAAATGGAAAAATTGCAAAATTTTTATTTTCTTCTAAATATCAAGTAATTTTTATACGACCGCAAAAAATGTTTGCGGTCGTATATTGGTATGACGTTAGCGTCGTCGTCGTCGTTGTCCGAAGACACATTGGTTTTCGCACAATAACTTTAGTTTAAGTGAATGGATCTCTATGAAATTTTACCATAAGGTTCAATACCACAAAAGGAAGGTTGGGATTGATTTTGGGGGTTATGGTACCAACAGTTAAGAATTTTTGTAACTTCCAGACAATAACTTGTGTGTTAGTATACGGATCTCTCTGACATTGTACCACAAGGTTCCATATCACAAAGGGAATGCTGGGATTGAATTTGGGGGTAATTCCTATAAAATTTTAGGAATTAGGGGCCAAAAAAGGGGCAAAAAACAAGCATTTTTCTAGTTTCATGACAATAACTTGTTTGTAAGTGTATGGATCTTTCTGAAATTGTACTACAAGGTTCCATATCACAAAGGGAAAGCTTGAATTGAGTTTGGGGGTAATTGCCCAAAACGTTTAGGAATAAGGGACCAAAAAGCTTGAAGTGAGTTTGTGGGTAATTGCCCAAAACGTTTAGGAATAAGGGGCCAAAAATAAGCATTTTCTAGTTTCCAGACAATAACTTGTGTTCAAGTGTATGGATCTCTCTGAAATTGTACTGCAAGGTACCATACTACAAAGGGAAGGCTGGGATTGATTTTTGGGGTAATTGCCTCAAAATTTTAGGAATTAGGGGCCAAAAAAAGGCAAAAAACAAGCATTTTTCTAGTTTCAGGACAATAACTTGTGTGTAAGTGTATGGATCTTTATGAAATTGTACTACAAGGTTCCATATCACAAAGGGAAAGCTGGGTTTGAGTTTGGGGGTAATTGCCTTCAACGTTTAGGAATTTGGGGCCAAAAAGTGAAAAAAAACAAGCATTTTTACATTTTCCAGACAATAACTTGTGTTCAAGTGTATGGATCTCTCTGAAATTGTACTGCAAGGTACCATACCACAAAAGGAAGGCTGGGATTGAGTTTGGGGGTTAATGAATCATAAGGGGGTTCAAAAAATAGGGGGGGATTTTTTTTTCCTTTTTTTCCTTTTTTTTCTTTAAAATTTTCCATTTTAAGTTGGTTATTTTTTTATTTTTATATAAAAGCAAATAATAATGATATGGTTTGATTTCATCAAAAATTGAAATATTGGGGTTCTTTGATATGCTGAATCTAACCGTGTATTTAGATTCTTAATTTTTGGTCCCGTTTTCAAATTGGTCTACATTAAGGTCCAAAGGGTCCAAAATTGAACTTAATTTGATTTTAACAAAAATTGAATTCTTGGGGTTCTTTGATATGCTGAATCTAACCGTGTATGTATTTAGATTTTGGATATTGGACCATAATAGGTAAATTAAAAAAAATTAAGTTCTTAGACCACATTCATTCTGTGTCAGAAACCTATGCTGTGTCAAATATTTAATCACAATCCAAATTCAGAGCTGTATCAAGCTTGAATGTTGTGTCCATACTTGCCCCAACTGTTCAGGGTTCGACCTCTGCTTTATACAATGGAATGTTTAATTTTGACTTCCACTGATAAAACACAGATCAAGTTGAATTTGGGTAGTGTCACTTTAACCATTTTTGAGTTATGCCCCTTTATAAATCGAAAGATTGCAAAATTTTTAGTTTCCATTCTGTAACTTAAGTTTGCCCTAACCAAACAGTATGAAACCTATAAACAATATTCATTACCACAAAACTATTGTAAGATCAAGTACAAATTTTTTGTTTCCGTTTTCTAACTTTAGTTTGCCTCAACCAAATGTTATGAAACTTATACACAATGATTATTGCTACATAATACAGATTAAGTACGAAATTTGGTGAGAACACTTTTACCATTCTTGAGTTATGTCCCTTTATAAACATAAAAATTGCTGAATTTTTCGTTTCCGTTCTCTAACTTCAGTTTGTCTCAACCAAATGTTATAAAACTTATACACAACCGTTCTAGAGTTATGCGTGTTTACAAATAGAAAAATTGCTGAATTTTTAGTTTCTGTTCTCTACTTGAGTTAGCCTCAACCAAATGTTATGAGACTTACACACAATGCTTATTACCACAAAACTCAGATCAAGTTCAAATTTGGGTAGCGTCCCTTTTTCCATTCTTGAGTTATGTCCTTTTATAACTATATGCTATGCAAGCGGGGGCATCATCTGTGTCCACATGTGGACACTATCCACATTTATTTTGCCATGATTTTATCCGTCGTCTCCTTTCGATGTTTTGAGTTTTGATTCTCCCTTTGGTATCGTCCGACTCTTTCTTCTTTGAAAATCAAAACAATAGATCAGATAATGAGATTTATATTACATATTAAATTTTCTAAGACGATGTTTTATTCATTTTTATCAAAACGTTGGGACGAAATGTGGCCGTTAAAGACTACCCTCCTTAGGTAGAAAATGTTGTCTGTAGTTCAGTTTATTCGTCTTTCTACGGCACAGTGGCGAACCTTAGTAAAATTAAAAGAAAAAAAGAACAATAAAGAGCCAATTTCCATTCCATTACAGACAAAAAATTATTTATATTTCAAGCAGTATAAAAGAAAACGAAAACATCTTTCTTCGTCGGAATTAATAGTTCGTCCTTAACATACATTCAGTTGATTATTCAGATATTTTATAGGGAGATAGCATCTTTAATATGCATTCAGTTGATGAGAATTTTTATAGGGAGATAGCATCTTTAACACACATTCAGTTGATGAGAATTTTTATATGGAGATAGCATCTTTAACATACATTCAGTTGATGAGAATTTTTATAGGGAGATAACATCTTTAACATGCATTCAGTTGATGAGAAATTTTATAGGGAGATAGCATCTTTAACATACATTCAGTTGATGAGAATTTTTATATGGAGATAGCATCTTTAACATACATTCAGTTGATGAGAATTTTTATAGGGAGATAACATCTTTAACATACATTCAGTTGATGAGAATTTTTATAAGGAGATAACATCTTTAACATACATTTAGTTGATGAGAAATTTTCTAGGGAGATAGCATCTTTAACATACATTCAGTTGATGAGAATTCTTATAGGGAGATATAAAAAGAAGATGTGATATGATTGCCAATGAGACAACTCTCCACAATATACTATGTAGACAGCTCTCTCACAAGCAAAAAACCCTAACTGTGAAAATATAAGGGCATACACTACAGGCACGAGGACACGTTCTACTGCATCCACACAGCACGAGTAACAAACCCTGCAGTAAATATAAAAAGATGTGGTATGATTGCCAATGAGACTCTCAGATGAGAAGAATTTTTATGAGGATTTTTATAGGGAGATTACAAACATGTTATTTCTAGCGGCTAAGCGGAACATGTTCATTTTCATAAAGAAGTATGAACCATTGCACTGCCGTGTATAATTTTGTACTTTAGTTGTACCATCGCATTTTATTAACACACTTTGACGTCCTACGTATTGCCTATATATATACTATGTCTTGTCAAGGTAAGCCTACTGAAATAACTTATATATATATATATATATATATATATATATATATATATATTAGTCACGTCAACTAGCATGATGAAATCGCCAGAATTACTTAACAGCTTTTTATTAGCTCTCTGTTTTAAAATCTAAAAAATCTAGAAATATACTGCCTTTCTTGCATCAAAACCAGCAAGACACTGCAACAAATGTTCGAATGTACATTGATCTTTTTATGCAGACCTTTTTTTTTCAATTATTATTAACCGGATTTCCAAAGAAAAATATTAGTTATTGATTTTGTTATGTACGGCGGGCGGTCAGGCGTTTGCCAAACAGTGTCCATGCAATTACTTGAAAACTCTTTGACGTAATATTTTCAAATTTAGGTATGTTGTTTCCTGTGACTAAATGAAGGTCAAGTTTGATTTTCACGATTTTAGCTTTTATCGTTGTTGAGTTGTAGACCTTTAAGTAGACAAAAGTGATACTAAGAGTGTTGTCCTCTCTTAAATTCCAATATTATGTCACTTATGATAAATAGGGGGTCAAGATTAGTTTTGCCTTTCCATTTCTGAACCCTACAAAAATTCATTTATTTTTTTTACTTGATCCTGTTTGGGGAACCAGATTTGCAAATATCAAATTTATGGAAACTCCGGTTTGCTGTCAATCGGACAGCCACTAGTTTATTTAATTACTTTTTATGATTATTTTTTGTATATACATTCACTGATTGTAGGCATAATTCAGTTGTAAGTTTGTATTTCTTTTAAATTTATTCACTTCTGAATAATTTACAAGAGGAAAAGCCAATTTCACCTTAATTCGTTTTACTCGATAGTGTTGTCCAAATCTGAAAATTGATCAAATCCTTAATGAATTAGTATTTTTAAGAGCATAAAGTACTAATGCAATATTTCGTCAATTTAACATATATACACAAATTTCAAACGTTATCCAGCGCTATAAATTGCCGTTGAAGACAAATTTTCTTAGTATTGCAAATTTTACATCGACAGCCATCTAAAACCAAAACAAATTTTTAACTTGTATCTCAAAGATGATATACCTCCATACCGATAAATATAAACAAAACCATACTTTTTATCAAATCATAAGAACTGACAGAAATTTGTGTATTTACTTTTACATCAAATCGGTAACTAATAAGATTGAGCTCTAATACAAATTCATGTCCCTGTAGTCTTCTTTGCTATGAGCAACACGACGGGTACAACTAGTGTAGAAAGAACTGCTTTTAGTTTTGAAGAACCGTAGTTATCTGGCTTTATGGGACTGTAATTTTTAGTAATTTGTATTTTCGACGTTTATCTTTTGACTATGGTGTTGTTCGTTTTTCTTTGGCCTATGGTTTTGTATTGTTCTTTGGTAAATTCTCTTTTTTGTCTATAGCACTTTTGACAGATCGAAAAATGCTAAAGTAATAAGGTCTTTAAATGATAGAAAATAACTACATGGTCTTAATTTAACACACAATTCCAAACTATGCCGCACGGTTGCTTTCCTTTCCATGCGTAGTTAATGTTTCAAGCAAAGCTAGCTGTACATGAGGTATCCTTCAAGTTTTGAGGAGTAGATAAGACCAATCTAGTCACCAGAATACCATGCGAATTAGAAATAAAGTCATCTTGATTTTTCTCGTCTGGCAGTAAAATCGCACTAAGAAGGTGTCCGTTTGATTGTGCAGGAAGTATACATAGTCAGCCACGCCATGTCGAAATTGAAAAGTTAAGGACATCCTTGTGTTAGGAGAGTACTTTGTTATATTTACGCAGAAGAGCTCTTGCAAAAAAGTAAGGCTAATGTTTTATGAAAATGATGCATACATGTGAACAATGAAAACAAGACCAATACCGGGTCTGGACCTGCGTCGCTGCATGTAATTTATTTAGGTTGCATGTATTCCGAAACATAATTGATCATTCCCTTTCATTTAAGACTTGAGAAAACGGCTTTGGAAATATCAGCTTTCTAGATTCTTTTTCTATGTATATACAAGTTTTATAGTCAGGCAATAAGGAGAAACACATTAAATATAAATAAGAAGATGTGGTATGAGTGCCAATGAGACAAATATCCACCCAAGTCACAATGTGTAAAAAGTAAACAATTATAGGTCATACTACGGCTTTCAACACGGAGCCTTGGCTTACACCGAACAGCAAGCTATAAAGGGCCCCAAAAAGACTAGTGTAAAACAATTCAAACAGGAAACCAACGGTCTAATTTATATACAAAAAACAAACACTTATGAACCACACCAACAAACGACAACCACTGAACAACAGGCTCCTGACTTAGGACAGGTGTATAAAAATGCAGCGGGTTTAAAATTTTTAACAGGCGCCAACCTTCACCCTAACCTGAAAGAGTGGTATAACATTACAACATAAAAAGACACACAATAAAATATCAATTCAAATGGTTTACTCGATCTTAAAGACAATACACAAAACATGTAAATATACACTGAACGAATAAGTTTGAATCATTTTAGCGATATTTTTTAACATTGTCATATAAACAGGAGGTTTGGCTAGCCATAAAACCAGGTTCAACCCACTATTTTTTTCTTAAAATGTTCTGTACCAAGTCAGGAATATGGCAGTTGTTATCAAATAGTTCGTTTCTATGTATGTTGGCGTTTGTTTTTGTTGCACTTCCGTGTTCCTGTTGTTCATTTTTTTCCTCTTATAGTTGATGTGTTTTCCTCGGTTTTAGTATGTAACCCGGATTTATTTTCTCTCAATCGATTTATGACTTTTGAACACCGGTATACTACTGTTGCCTTTATTTGATCTATGACACAATATAAATAAAAAGATGTTTCAATGTCAAAAAAACAAATTTAACCGAAGACAAAATGGCGTTAAATAAAGTAACGTACACAGGTAAATTTAAATATAACAAGAAATGATTGTAACAGGATGCTGTTACGAAGTCTCCCAAACGAAGCTCCCATAATTCGTAATTCCCAGGGTCGCCTGACATTGGGCAAAGTCCAGTGAAAATTGGTTTGGTCGACCATTTACAAGATATTAGAACTTTCTCAAATGGCATGGGGGTCGTGATGACCCCTGGGGACTAACCCTGTATATCATTCAAACCATCTTTGCATGACAAACCAGAATATATATGGTTTAGGGGTGGGGATCTTGACCACTTACAAGATATTAGAACTTTCTTCAATGGCAGGGGGTAGGGTGACCCCTGGGGACTAACCCTGTATTTCATTTGATTTGCTTTATAATGACAAACCAGAATATATATGGTTTAGGGGTGGGGATCTCAACCATTTACAAGATATTAGAACTTTCTCAAATGGCAGGGGGTCGGGATGACCCCTGGGGACTAACCCTGTATATCATTCAAACGATCTTAGCATGACAAACCAGAATATATATGGTTTAGGGGTGGGGATCTTGACCACTTACAAGATATAAGAACTTTCTTAAATGGCAGGGGATGGGGGTGACCCCTGGGGACTAACCCTGTATTTCATTTGATTTGCTTTATAATGACAAACCAGAATATATATGGTTTAGGGGTGGGGATCTCGTCTATTTACACGATATTAGAACTTTCTCAAATGGCAGGGGGTCGGGATGACCCCTGGGGACTAACCCTGTATATCATTCAAACCATCTTAGCATGACAAACCAGAATATATATGGTTTAGGGGTGGGGATCTTGACCACTTACAAGGTATTAGAACTTTCTTAAATGGCAGGGGTGGGGTGACCCCTGGGGACTAACCCTGTATTTCATTTAATGTGCTTTATCATTTAGAACATTTTTAATTAAAAAGATTGTGTCTATCACAAACGGTTTTCAATTTATAATCATTTGAAAATTTAAAAAAATAAAATCCCATAGAGTTCTATAGTAAAACCCTCCTTTCTTTTCGCCCCTCAAAGTACCCCTTTATAAACCCTATTGCACAAACAAAACCCTGATTGCACCACTAGACATGTTAGTCTAACATATTGTGAAACCCTAAGTTAATCTGACAAGCGGTTTTGGAGAACAGGTGCGGACAAGTTCAAATTTAAAAGTGGCGGAAGAGGAAGAGG